GGATTGGACGGTGCACACAGCGAAAGGGAGGGAGGGAGAGAGCCAGAGCAATTGAGATTTGGGAGTTGGTTGAGGTCGAGGGATTATGTTATATAGATAGACGCGGCGGGGGCACGGTGTTTATCCGGTCTCATGTTAGATCCTATGATTTGGTAAGTTAACCTACGAGAACAAGTCACAAGTTTTTTGTTTGACTATGCATCGAGTTCATTGCTATCTCTATCTTTATCTACATGGATATTAACACGCACTATTATTGAGATTCAAGACACCGTTTTGCTTTAAAGAGTAAAATAAATCCCAGTTAATTATTAATGCATCGTTGAGTACACAGATTCTTTTCCTATTCGTACTGTAGTATAGTAAGGAAAAACTGCTTGACAGAATTAAGGTCAAGATAACTAGTGTGATTCCTACACTGGGAGAATCGTGGATATGTAGGGAATAGAGAAATGCCACCCGCCTAGGTAAAGAAATGTTACAAATAAAGAGTAAACTAATAAGGATAAGTAAGAAACAAGATAAAAGAAACCATATTTGATACCGGCATATTTGATTTGATAACCTGCAACTAATTCCCTCTCTGGGTAATCTTTCACATTCAGCCAAGAAGAAAATCTAAAAACTAGAAAGCCTATAGGCTGACGCCAAAGATTCCATAAAAAACCATATTTTGGCTGTGCTTCAACTATATCAATTGTACTTGAACTGTTAGATGATCATAGTCGATAATAACATCACAGCTCCCACCGCTATTGCAAAACCGTACATGAAACCTTAGCTTCATACGGCTCCTCTATGATAAGAAAAAAGGACTGTTTCGGTATTATCCCCCAGGTTTCTCAGTTGCAGGTGAATCCTGTGAAACATCTCTCTCGAGGCTAGTAACAACACTTGGAAATGAAAAATGAGCTTAGCGGTTGTACCAGGTCAGGACCATAAACACCACGAGCCGGTTAAGCAACAGAAGCGGTGGGCGAAAGCACACTCCTCATTCTCAGACCTGCGATTGAGGTACGTGTGAACAAGTTCACATTCTCTATGTTTCATGGACTATCAATGAAAGTCGATATCAGGCTGGCTCGCTTGGCGGGTCATCTCCTTATATACCTAAATCCTTGTTTCACTCATCTGTAAAGGTCTACCCTTTGAAAGGTAGGTTGAGTTCCCCCGTATGTAGTCAACCACACTCTACTCGCACATCAAATATTGGCGTAGACAACAGAGAATGTGCTAGGTAGGTAGCCGAAGGAACTCTTACTTTACGAGAATTTGCAATTCAATATGACAACTGATTAGAAAGGGTTTGGACAATCCCAATGTGTTGCCCTCCTTTGCAATACCAGAACTATTTGAACGAGCTCCATCAACACAGAAAGCGGAAGGGGCAGTAGATACGGATAGACTGGATCGAGAAAGGGATTTCAGCCAGTCCTTGCCTATTGCTGGGCTGGTTGTTTTGTTATGGTCCGATTAGTACAAGGTGAGTGAGTAAAATGAGGCCCCCGAAGCGTATTGTAGAGCTATACTGCTCTTGTTTTTCCTTCCCCACTTTAGCTAGCTTTCAAGGATACCATTACAGATGAGTGAAGTGAGTATACCATTTCCGGAGCTCCCGAGGTAGCGCGATAGCGGAAGCCCTTTCTAGTTCAAGCAGTTCCAATTCCTATTCTGCTTCACTGCTTACACCACACTCTATTGGTTCGCCTTGTGGTGCCTTTCGATCAAGGTCTACTTTGGTTGATCCACTTTCTTCTACAGCGCGTTATCCGCATCGAAGTTAGCCAGGTTCCTACCGCTTCTTGATATTATGGATTTTGCAATCCCTGAACGCCAGTGCTTCTACAACCAATGGATACTATTTAACATAAATAATAAGTAGAAATGGAAAAACAAGTGTGGCTACATAGAGTGAGGAAAAAACATGGTGGTACCAGCATTGCGTATCACTCACTATGCTTTATGTAATATGGCTTAAGCAATGGTAAAATGGGAGTCGTGAGCAAAGCATATCTGATCGATATGAATGAAAGATACATCCATCTTTTCTTCTCATTCAAAGGTTAGGTATCCGCTCGTTAGTTCAGCACCGCATAAATACTGAATTTAAAAGGGGCGACTCCCGTCTGTGCTTAAGTTGTTTCAAGCTTGTAAAGACTCGCGATCGGAAGATTGACCTGGTTTTCTTTCAGCTAAAACTCTACCTAATGGTTCAGATTCCCCGGGTCCATGGGTCCACGGCCGCTTAGCTTAGATAGCCTTGTTAGAGACATGAATGCGGGGTTCGGTTTCCAGTTGATTTGTATTCACCAGGACCTCCCCTTATTGGATTTTCTCCACTTTTCTAGTTGCTATGGAAAGAATTTTAAGCAAATGAGTTTAAGGGGTGGTTTTTTGTTTACTTTTTTTAGCCTACGTCGTCACTCTTGCAGAACCTCACAGTCATTAGTCTGAAGTTTCATGATGAATATTGGTTTCACATTTTATTGCCTACGTGAGGAAATATCAATTTGGAACTCGAATTTGTATTTGAGTTATGATTAGAAGTGAGGCAGATTCGCATTGTTGAAGAAAGCGAACAAAAAGGATGCTGCTATGGCTTGCTTGTGACTCTTTCTTCTATTGGCTAGTCTTAGGCATGATAGTTTCAATTTCTTTTGGAAAGCAAGTGCGGCTCATTCATAAGTGTTTGTAATAGCATGGAGTAAGTTGTCGATAGCCGGCATTAGGTAAAAGGAAAAGCTTCTCAAAAGCATCCAGAAATATCATAGAATGGTGATCGAGATCACCTTCACGGAAATCATCCTTTGCAAATAGGGGGAAGGGAACCAATCAAGTCACCAATAAGTTCCCGAAACTTTCTTTAGTATTAAGGTTCTTCTCTTACAGCGTTTAGTATTCAGTTCTTCTCTTCCAGCCCCCCGGCCCCTCTTTGATAAGGAAAGTTTTCATTTCTAAAATAAAAAATGACAAATATGGTTCGATGGCTCTTCTCCACTAGCAGGTTTACTGCTTTCTATTTGCACTTCTGTATTAAGTTTCCTTATATATACGATTTTTTACTATTTTCTACTTGTCTACTTTTATTTATTTTGCATTTTATTTCTATTATTCTTCTCCCAGTTTTAAATATTTTCTGAGTGTCCTTCCTTATTACTCTTCCTCCAGAGATTCTGGATTCCCAAGCTCTATCTCATTTAGCAAGGCTAAAATTCTACCTAAGCCTTTACGAGCAGGATCTTGGATGGGTTATGTTCATTCAGAACGAGCCTGATCACAATACCCCTCTGGAGGACATACCTGGATGGCTTAAGCTCTTCCTAATGGAAGAAAAGCTGTCTAGTATGCGACAAGATGTCATTCAGGAATTTGTGGCGCTTTATCAAAGAATAAGGCCTTATCTACCAATCGAGCCCTACTTGGTCAATGAAGCGCTTCGTTCCTATCTGGATCATATTCACACAACTGATTCTTTCACTCTTCTCCAAGCATCTTATCAAGATCTGCGGGAGAATGACGAAGGATCTGTTTTCTTTATAAATGTTGTTTCCCACAACCGAGATCTCCTTGAGGCGAAAAGCTCCACAAGAAGGTGCCTGGAAGTGGAACAGAGGATCCAATGGGAAGAAATCCCCAAGAGAAAGGCAAGTCTGGAAAGAGCTAAGCGTGAGCATGCTCTTGACTTGTTTAAGTCGGAGGATCTTAGAAGGGAATTAGAAAAAGAAAGAGGAGGGTAGCTCAGTAATTATGATTCTTTTCTCTTCCAGCCCCCGGGCGGGCCCCTCTTTCTTTTCTCATCCAGCACCCCGGCCCCTCTTTGATAAGGAAAGTTTTCATTTCTAAAATAAAAAATGACAAATATGGTTCGATGGCTCTTCTCTACTAACCACAAGGATATTGGGACTCTCTATTTCATCTTCGGTGCCATTGCAGGAATGATGGGCACATGCTTCTCCTTACTGATTCGTATGGAATTAGCCAGACCCGACGATCAAGTTCTTGGTGGGAATCATCAACTTTATAATGTTTCAATAACGTCTCATGCTTTTTTAATGATCTTTTTTATGGTTATGCCGGCGATGATAGGTGGATTTGGTAATTGGTTTGTTCCGATTCTGATAGGTGCACCTGACATGGCATTTCCACAATTAAATAATATATCGTTCTAGTTGTTGCCACCAATTCTCTTGCTCTTATTAAGCTCAGCCTTAGTAGAAGTGGGCAGCGGCACTGGCTGGACAGTCTATCCGCCCTTAAGTGGTATTACCAGCCATTTTGGAGGAGCAGTGTATGTAGCAATTTTTAGTCTTCATCTATCAGGTACTTCATCAATTTTTGGTTCTATCAATTTTATAACCATCTTCAACATGCGTGGACCTGGAATGACTATGCATAGATTACCACTTTTTGTGTGGTCTGTTCTAGTGTCAACATTCATACTTTTATTATCACTTCCGGTACTGGCGGGGGCAATTACAATGCTATTAACCAATCGAAACTTTAATACAACCTTTTTTGATCCTGCAGGAGGGGCAGACCCAATATTATACCAGCATCTCTTTTGGTTCTTCGGTCATCCAGAGGTGTATATTCTCATTCTGCCTAGATTTGGTATTATTAGTCATATCGTATCGACCTTTTCAAGAAAACCGGTCTTCGGGTATTTAGGCATGGTTTATGCCATGATAAGTATAGGCGTTCTTGGATTTCTAGTTTGGGATCATCATATGTTTACTCTGGGCTTAGACGTTGATACACGTGCCTACTTCACCGCAACTACCATGATCATAGCTATGCCCATAGGAATCAAAATCTTTAGTTGGATATCTACCATGTGGGGAGGTTCGATACAATACAAAACACCCATGTTATTTGCTGTAGGGTTCATCTTTTTGTTCACCATCGGCGGGCTCACTTGAATAGTTCTAGCAAACTCAGGGCTAGACATTGCTCTACATGATACTTATTATGTGGTTGCACATTTCCATTATGTACTTCCTATGGGAGCCGTTTTTGCTTTATTTGTTGGATTTTACTATTGGGTGGGGAAAATCTTTGGTCAGACATATCCTAAAACTTTAGGCCAAATCCATTTTTGGATCACTTTTTTCGGCGTTAATCTGACCTTCTTTCCCATGCATTTCTTAGGGATTTCGGGTATGCCACGTCGCATGCCAGATTATACAAATGCTTACGCCGCATGGAATGCTCTGAGCAGTTTTGGTTCTTATATATCAGTAGTTGCGATTCATCGTTTCTTCGTAGTTGTCGCAATCACTTCAAGTAGTGGCAAGAACCAAAAATGTGTGGAAAGTCCTTGGGCTGTTGAACAGAATCCGACCACACTAGAATGGTTGGTTCAAAGCCCTCCGGCCTTTCATACTTTTGGAGAACTTCCTGCGGTAAAAGAGACAAAAAGTTAAAAAAAACCTCTCCTAACTATGAAGGAAGTTTCATAGAGATAGGTGTGGGGAAATAAGTTCTTAATTTGAAGAGTTAGTTGGCTGGCCTACCGGCCCGCAGATTAGTTTGGCTTTTATCGCCATGTGAACTGCGTAACCAAAGCGATTGCTTCGGTGGAGATAGGTGGGTCCTGGTCCAACCTAAGTCAGTTCGAACCTGACGAGTCGTTCGTTTGTGTGGAGAATCTTTCTCCTTACTCGGGATTTCTTTATCTTCGAGGCAAGGCATATTCATATGTCGAAGAAGGGGGAAGTGTCTCCATTTATGCTCATAGAACCTGGAAAAAAGAATATATTGTTGTTTAAGGACCAAGGATGTGATGTGAGAAGCGTAGGTGGAGTAGCAGGAGTATGCGACAAGCAGTTCAATGTTTGATGTGGGTCTCTAACGAGATGAATTAGAACACTTGGAATCCTCGCGGATATAGCTGCCACGAGGGCTCTTTCCCACTTAATAGATTCATTCCTTTGTTAGAGCGGTTGAGGGTACCTGTCGTTCAGAGATGCTATCGGAGTAGGATAGTTAGCCAAGTTATCCTGCCTAGTTTAGATAAAGCACCCCGATCATACCAGATGCAACCCAATCATTGTATACATAACATAGTGGAATTTGAGTAAATTCTCTCTGCCTTTCCCATTTCCAATTCAATAACAACTAGGCATAGAAGGAAATCTTTCCTGGTAGAAGGTTCTCAGTAATCAGAAGTGGGAATAAGCCCTTCTAGTCTTTTTCGCCTAAGAAGGTTTTGGAGGAGGAACATATGGGAACGGCAGTCCTGCATCGAGTTTATTAGTTGCTTACCGCTGCACATTTTATCAAGATCAACCTATGGGAATAGCCGTCCCTTGCTTACCAGAGAAAGAAAAATGGAATGACACGGTCTGGTTTACAAGTAAGAAAGAAATAGGATAAGGGTAAATGTGACGTTTTAGCTCTTCGTTACGCTCTTGGTTTACAGGCTTTGTTAACCGGACCAGAAAAGGGGGCATTTTCTAGGTAGGTTTCCCTATTAAGTTAGCACTGGATCAAGATTGGAGACCCACCACAAGTAGAGAACAAAAATCCAAAGAGTGGTGACCAACCATCTGCAAAAGGAGTAACAGAGCAAAGCGGAGAAGAGAAGGGGGAAGAAAAAAGGTTCCTAACTCATTCGATAGCTTAATCTATTGGTCAGGAATCCCATCTTTACTTTATTTAGATGCCTAGACTTTTCGGGGCATTGGGTAGATTTCACAGTCCTTTAAGTGAATACGCCTTCTCTTTATGTATAGAGCTGTCAAAGAATGGATCAGCTCCCAGCAAAAAAGTCCAAGGTCTGAATACCAAGAGCGGTCAAACACAGTGATCGGTCCCGGTCAATGGGTAGAAAAGCCCGCCCTATAATCTGAAGTAGTCTTCGACTAGGTATATTAAATGGATAAAAAGAAAGAAGGGGATGAGAGGAGATAGATGCATTTCACTATGTGTATATGATATTGGAAAGAATGGAATCGAGTAAGCTTAGGCCAACCGGTAAGTCATCTTTGTGTAACTTTCCATATGCCTACTTCTAAGCTAAAGTAAGGAAATGGGATGAGATAAGCAAGAATGAGCTGAACGAAGACGTAAGGTTTCTTTAGATGTACTCTTTGTGCTTTTCAAGTTGCATCTTGCGAAATCAACTAAGTTTGAAAAGGCCATGCCCAGGTTTCCGGGGGTTTAGATAAGATATGTCAGCTGTTGGAGGATCAACATTATCCGGGGGATCCATATATTATGAGGGTGTACATAGAGGGGGTCTAGAGATAGTATATTCTGTAGTGAGCCTATTCATTAAATGGACTTTTCCCTTACCTTTCATCAGCTCCCCTTTCCCTCGCTGGTGCAGTGCCATCTGGATACCTCATAAATAAATCAAGTAGGCCGGCTAGTAAGCGATCCCGAGGGGCTATCTTCTCTCCCATGCTGGTGCCTTGCTTAACTCAAGTATAAAGTGGAAATGAAAGCAAAAATCCGGGGTGATAAAATTCCATTTGAATCTTGAGATCCAAGAAGAAGGATAGCTTCATGAGTGTGTTCTGACTACTAGCTTAGCTGGAAAGCTTTTTCTTGTATCTGGCAGTGGGTGTAACATCCATCATACTCAAATAGAAGAAGGTTTGCTTATCTAGCTCCAAGGCAGTTATAATCATTTGCAGACCTAAAGTTTGCACCTACTGAGGAGGAGAAAGGGTCGACGACCCATAGTAAACCTCCAAGATAAGACCTTTCAGTCGATCAGACAGCCGAGGCCTTTAATAAGGTCCGGTTGTGCCAATGAGTTCTTCTAGTTATGAATCGCCGTAGGGAGGTAGCATTACATTTGTATTAGCAAAATAGAGCTCCTCATAGAAAAGAATGTCAAAGAAAGTGTTAGAGTACTTTCTTTCTGTTCAGTCCAGGAACTTATTCTTTTCCGATCGACCTATCAACAATAGCGATCATACCCCATAGAGCGAGTTAGGAGCTACTCACAAAGAAGGCCAAAACCAGATGAGTTGGCCGAAGCAGATAACAGAGAATAGGTTCCTTCACCGAAGTCTACTTTATTTTAGAATTCAAATTCAATTGATGCCGCACAGGTTGACCATTTAAAATAGGTGCAAATGGGAGACTGGTGAAGATGATCACACTTTGGAAGAGAGACAGTCGCGTACCTGCCCCGAGAGGGGGCTTTTGTTTGAAACAATCACTGAACTCAACCGCTTAGACTAGAGATGGCACTTGAAAACTCGTACAGAAATCTATCAACTTGACTTAGAGGAAGAAGTGGCAGGGGGTAGGTCGGCTGTTTTAAGTCCGGATGGTTCCTCTTGTTGGCATGGCGTTGGTATGCCTCGCTATCCTTAAATTATGGACAAGGGAGATAGAACTTTTGCTTTTCGATACCCCGAGCCGATACATGAAAAAAGAGGGATAATAGTAGTAGCAAGGGTGTTGTATTGGGTCAGTCAAAACTTACTACTTCCACATTGGTAAACGGCTCCGCCGTAGATCTATCATACAAATTTCGATTCTGGAAAAGCGAACCCCTGATAAAGAACCTATTCGCATAAAATATCGTAGTGCTCACGCTCCTAAGTAGATCCAATCGAGGGCAGTTGCTAGTAATAATGACTTGTCGTGATCCATTGGTTTATATAGAATCCATGTCCTAGGTCTATCAAAAAACATTCTTTTCACTAAGCGTATATAATAAAATAGAGTGATAGGGTCCACCCCGAAACCAAGGGGGTACTAACTAACAACTGAGTCCTCTCCGAACCGCAGGAGATATTTTCCCATCATACAGCTCACCAACTTCACTTGCCTCTAACGGGGGCTCGCTCCGGGTAGGTTGGGATCACTTACTATACATGACCCTATGAAGGGGTTAGGAGCATTTTCAAGATGATTCTTTCTTTGTCGAGACGAAAAAGGAACCCATCTTTTCGATTGAAAAATGTGAGTCTGTTTTGCCCACTTTATCCATCCCCCTCTATCAAAATTATCAAAAAGGCATTTCAAATGCTTCTTATTCCCGTGTTTGATCTTATCCATCTCTACCCCGCTTCCATGTGGGAAGCGACCCCTGTAGAGAATGAAGAGGAGCCAAGGATCTTACTCTCAAGAGTGCTTCGATAGGCTCCACTCTCTCCCCTGAATAAGTCAGCCTTCGTTAGCCTGGGCTGAGATGGGGATAAAGAGTCGACGATTGAAGCCCCCAATGTTCTGCCAGACACTGGACAGGGGTAATCTCTATAAATGTGTAGAGCCAAGTGTAGTGTGGTGTAGTAGGAGGCACTTCTAGGCCCCTTCCCGGCTACTGGATAACTCCAGTGCTTCGGGTAATACGGACCCTCTGCCATCCATTGCAGCAGGGCCATTTCATGAGCGGGGGGCTAAGCGCAGTTCTTTGAATCAAAGGTTTCATGAAATCGAAATCGATTCTTTTTTAGATATCTAGATAGATGGATGGATCTATCTTTCTATTTAGATATCTTTTGCAATCAGCCCCAAATCCTTGATTTGGCCAGGAAACAAAGCGCTGCTTTGGGCCCAGGAAGCGAAGGGAATGAGCTCGGCTGCTTAGCCCCCCCCCCCACACACACACTTCTTTATTTCTCCGTTCCCCTTCTGCATGTGCTTCGCGCACCATTGGCGCTTTGCTCTCCTCTTATTTCTTCATTGGAGGGTTCGAATGGACTTTGCCGTTCTTTCCCCATGAAAATGGAAAGGGATGTATCACATCAAGATGTCGATTCATTTTCCGCCCCAAATGAGATTGGGAATTAGTCACCTCTGTCCCTTCATCTTTTTAAAAGGAATCGAGGCCCGGCCCGGCTCGCGTCGTTCCAACAACCGATGGGGAGCACCTTAGTACACAATCGCGTGCAGTACCTGGGAGTCCTATTACACCTAAGGCCAACTTCCATTCACCAAACCCAGGTTCATCTCATGTAGAGATTGTGGACTCGTACAAGGATATGGAGTCAACGGTTGATGTATCAGACTCGACTCTGTCTTTCGCAGCATGCATTCCCATCTGTGTTGCAACTGATTCGGTAAGCTACGTGTTCGGTGCACGGAAAACTTCCTTTGGTCCCCCAACCTTACTCATGGCAACCTTCCGGCCGCCCAACGACCTATAACGCTAGTCACTACTCCCACTGGGGCTAGGAAGTAAGCCCACAACCCAACGCGGCGAAGAACAAATATAATTTGCTACAAAAGCCGGCTAACGGGGGTATTCCTGCGTATGAGAACTTTGTAATGGAGAAGGTCATAGCCGAAATAGGATTCGTTTTGGCCAGAGCGCCCAAATCCGCTATATATTTGACACGGGTTTCCCGTAATGCTGGAACTATGGCGAATGCATCTATCATCATTGATGCATAAATAAATATACCAATTAGTAGTGATTGAATTCCTTCTATTCCACATGAGAAACCAGTACGAATAT